CACACACACACACACACACACACACACACACACACACACACACACACACACACACACACACACACATTTGTTGCAGTGAGTGTCTTGTTGGCACAGTACACATTAAACACCTTTGTTGCAAGTCTAGGGAGTCGAGACTGGCCTGGCCTTCCAGCTGAGAAGATCTCACTTTACAACTAAATAGCTGACTCTAGCATGTCTTCTTTTTTGTACATATTTACTGCTGGACCATTTGACATAATATTTCTAGTATTTACAGTAATCCGGTTGGAAGGAATCTAAGCTTTTCAACCTTTTAAGCTGTCCGTATGTAACCAAATGCCTTTTACCCATATGAACATGCAGTCCTATAATTGCAGTGATTTCTTTTATTCTCGCCATATTACTAATATGAAGAACATATAATGTTGATGTGTTTTTCCCAGGGTGTAACCATAAAAAAATACGTTTATAACTAAATGCATGCACGTTATATACAAACACGACATTACTGTGTATTTTAACCCCAACACAAAGATTCATGCACACACATACAGTATTATCACCCAGTTCCCCAAATAATCAGCTTTTGGACTTGACCAGCTGGCCCCTTGTTGAAGGGAACTCTGGGATTTTTCAGAATACCATGACATTAAATAGTGAAACACTACAACACATTTGGCTTTAAAGGGATATTTCAACTTTATTACAGTATTCCTTCTAGAACATTCCCACCATGATGTGTAGAAACTGTAAGAGAATAGAAATGTTTCTGTTTAGGGCTCAAGAAGAGAATGATGAACATTTTTATTTTTCACAACAGCAAGAGTATTTCTAGTTACTATCATGAATTTTGGCTGCCTTTTTTGACAAAGTTCCAGAGGCCTTCTGTTGTGCATGCTGGCACACTCGAGCACCTACCATGAAAAAGAGGCACCATCATGTTAACAGCTAAACTTTGTCTTTCCCAACTGCAGAAGGGTACACTGCTAAGCAAGCTGAAAATAGACAGGTTTTCTTTGCATTAGCTGGCTCAACAAAGTAGTAAGTAAGTAAATTAGATCCCAAAGTTATAGTTACAATGGTGAATCTGCAATTTATTTGTTAACCAAGGTATTTTTTTATGTTATTGTCCTCTGCACAATATGAACTGATCAACCTCTGAGGAATTGGTCACAGGGCTGGAAAAAAAAATGTTGTAAATTTGGAAGTTGGTTTTCTGTTGCTTCTGAGAAGTGGTTAGCAATGTTTTATAGCAAGAATGTCCTGGGTTTGAGTCCAGCTTGGGCTGTTCTGTGTGGAGTTTGATGTTTTCCCTGTGTCTGCTCGGGTTCAGTCTGAAAACTCTGGATACTCTCATAGTCCAAAAACATACACGTTAGTTTAACCGGTAATTCTAAATTGGCCATATGTGTGAATGCAAGTGTGAATGGTTGTTTGTGTCTCTGTGTTAGCCCTGCAATAGCCTGGTGGCTTGCCTACAATCTGAAGTTGGATCAGTTGTTAAGAAAATGGCTAGATTTACTTCTACAACTTAACTAATATGTATCAGTTTTCTAATGTGGAACATCAGCACAGTGCAGACCAATCAGAAATATTTATTCTGTTCATCTACTGAATGCATGTTAATTCCCCTGTCAAACACACATTTGCACTGCTGTAATTGTATTACTTCCATTTACGGCCTCACAAATGTACAACTCAACAGGCTTGCAAATATAATTTTCTAAAGTTGGCACGTTTTACTGTTGAATTAATTTTAAAACTGAAAATAA